ACACACACACACACACACACACACACACACACACGGCCATTAGGAAAGGATACCAGCTCTGTGTAGTCTCCACAACTCCAGGCCTGCTGGGGCTCCCTGTAAACAGCACCAGTGCCCACACTCAGCTAACAGATTGCTCTCCTCTGTATCTCCCTGAGACACAGGACCATAGCCTCCCTTTTGGAAACTCCTAAGCCCCTGGCTCAAGGGCACATTCCATGTGGTCAGTCAAGGAGGCAGGCTAGCCAAATGGTTAAGAACAAGGTCTCCCAAGTCAAGTGACCCGGGTTTAAATCCCAACCCTGTCCTCTTTAGGAAAATTATCTCCTCCATGCCTGAGTTTCCTCATCTATAAGATGGAGATAAGCCTAGTGCTTACCTCATAGAACTGTTAGGAGGATTAAATGAGACATTACACCTAAAACATTTAGAAGAGTACCTGACAGTGCTATATAAGCCTTAGCTAGTATTCTGAACCTTTGAAGGAAGAAAATGGGAAAGAAAAGACACTTGGGATCATGGAGATCATGGTCTCAAGGACGGATCCTGCTGGAATTCTCAGATATGCTTTTGCTCCTAAATTCCAGGGGAGCAGAAGCTCTGACTTGTTTGCCATTATATCCCCAATATTTAGCCTGTGCAGACAGTGCAGCCACAGCAAACAGGTGGTGAAAGAATTCACCGTGTCAGCCATCTCTCAAATGAGCCTGGGAATTGAAAGAGCAGAAGAATCTTCAGGAAAGCAATGGTAGATCCAGTTCTTTTCACTCATGTCTAGTTCCAAAGAGAATTGAGGTGGGGGGGCAGAGAGCAAGGATTTGTTAGAAGAAACAGTCCTAGCAACCAGGGATGGGGGGTGGTGCCCCAGGATTGTATGACTGTTCCATCACCCTGGGGTAGACTCTCCCAGCTGCACCTAGCTGGGAATTTCTGGGGTCTTGGGGACCAGCCCAGAAACATGCCTTTCCCTGAATTCATCCAGTTCATTCTTATCTCTTCTTCAGGTCTAGACAGTGGGTTAAAGAGAGCAAGAGCTGTTTCTGGGTCCCTATTGTTTCCCAACTCCCAACACCACAGTCAGGGTTCAGTCCAGCTCTGCAGAATGAGTAAGTTCCCACAAAGACTCCCCCCCACTTCTCTGCCTGGTGACTATTCATCATTCAGAACCAACTCAAATGTCCTCTTCTCTCTGAAGCCTTCCCAGCCACCCCAACGGGACACTTCGTCTCTGTTGTTCTATGACTCAGGGGAGATCACTGTGGATGAATAACATCACTGCACGCTCAGCATCCCATCCAATCCCACACACAGTAGGTGCTCAGTCAATGTTTGCACATGAATACATTAAGGCTCCCTCAGTAACAGCAACCAATTTCTTCAGTTACTCCTCTTGTTGACACATTAAAACACACAGAAGAGGGTAAGGCCGTCAATTGCGTACCCATCAGACACCAGAGGGACCGCCACTGAGAGGTCCCTCTTTCCAGTCCTGTCCTCTGGCCTCCTCCCTCGGCCCTGGCTGGCAGGATGACCCCAAGGCTCCCTGCCCACACGTCTTCTGCCCTCCTTCCGCCTCCCACCCCATCTCTGAGGTATGAAGAATGACAACAGCCCAGTGAGGTCACTGGGCTTCCAGATCAGCTTGGAGGGTGGCTGTGCAGACACAGAGAAAGCTCAAGGCTTTGGGGGGCTTCCCCGCCCTTCAGCCACGTGCAACTCAGAAAGAAACTGACCCGAGCTTTGAGAGACAACCGGGAGGTGATGAGGACACCATGACCTCCTTAACCCCCGCACCTCAGACCCCCCCGCCCAGGTGTCCAGCCTCAGCTTGGAGGCCCCAGCGAAGAGGGCAGACGCTGACACCCATCTGTCTTGGCTTCTCCAGCCCTCGAGCCTACCTCCTCGGCAGGTGAGCCCCCCGGAGCACCGACTGTGGCTGCACACACTCTCTCCCGCCGCCTCTCGCTTCTGTCTTTGGGGACATGGGGAGGGGGTCGCCACCTCCAGCCACGGCGAGGGGCGTGCACCCCTCCCCCAGGCGCCCAAACAGAACCAGTTTCCACCGCCGCAGGCGCGGCGTGTTTACAAAGTCGCCGCCGCGCCGCCAATCCCGAGTTTAAAGCTGGGCAGGAAGTGGGGAAGAGGGGGCGGGGGAGACAAAGGGGCTGGGTGCTCCGCTCAGCTAAGGTTTGGGCCCCGACTCCTCCCGGCGGCTCAGCCTGCGCAGCGACCCCAGCCCGCACATCCCGCTGCACGTTCCCCCGGTGAGGGGCGGAGGTGCCCCCCAGCCGCAGGTGCGCCCCGCGGGCAGGCGCGGCGCAGTTTTCCAGACATCTGCCTGTGAGCGTTTTCCACTCATCCACTCGCCTCTCAGGAAATAAATAACATTAGGCGCTGCTTCTTGACCTCTTACTCTCCGTCTGCACAGTGATAGACCCTTTGAGTGTATTAGCTCATTTTACCCCCTGCTATCCATCCCATCCCAGTTTCGCAAAAGACGAAACCGAGGCACAGTGAGATTAGGTAATGTGCCCGAAATCCCACAGCTGCCGAGTGCTGGGATTCAAACCCAGCTTCTGCGTCCTGCCAGACACCCGCAAACGGAGACGAATGAGGCGTGGTGCACGAAGGACTCCCATCCGGAGAGGCTGACCCGCGAGTGAACCGCAGAAAACCACATGCACCACGTTGACGCAACGGCCTGGGAATAAGGCGGGCAAGGGACAGCCTCTTGCCGCCGGCGCTTCCCGGCTCGCCCGGCAAATACCTACGGATTAATACACGGCGAGAAGGCAGCGGGATGCGTTGGAACACCTGGATTGGGTGGCTGTTGGGATCTAGTTCCAAGTGGGCTGAGGGGCCGCCGGCACAAAACAAGGTTTCCTCAAATTTCCCGCTCAGAAGAATCACCTGGAGGTTTTAAGAATACAGAATCTCAGACCCCTCCCCTAGAGAGTAAATGATGGGGACCCAGCGGGACCCAGGCAGAGGTTGCTATCAGGCATCTTTGGAGTATTCCAGGGATGTGCTTTTTACGAAAAGCGACTTCATTTCAAAATAGGTGTAAAACCGAGAGCTCATTTTCCTGGCCACTTCCGGGGCTTACTGAACGCACCGCTCACAGAAGGCCAAGTGAGCGGGGTCACCCAACACACCCTCCCGACCCCGCTGGGCCTAAGAAAGCCCAGAGGGGCGCATGTCGCCCCGCCCCCTAGCCGCTCCTCCCCGCCCGGTGACTACAAGCCCCATCCTGCCCTGCGCTCATGCCCATTACGCCAGAGCAAGATGGCCGACGCGGCGGCCACTGCCGGGGCTGGCAGCTCCGGAACGGTAAGGGCGGGAGGCGCGAGGCCGAAGCCGAGAGAGTCGGGGCATTCTGTAACTTTCCCCTAGCCTGGGCTACAATCTTATACCCAGAAATCCAGCCCCACCATGAGCTCTGAGTGGAGGAGGGTCTTTCAGGTCGTACGTGACCCCCTTCTCGAGACTCGGCGGTTGCCTTCTGAGTTGGTGGACTTGTATACTGATTGGCCCGTTCTCTGTTGGGGGTTGGGAGCCCGGAACACCTCCTGATTGGTGCAACGAGGCCGCTTTCGCCTTCTTATTGGCTCGCCAAAGTTGGGAGGGATTCCCGTTTCAAAATACTTCCTACTTGTAGGTCCTCTACTTAGCATCATGTGTTGTTTGTTGTTTTAATTTTCCTCGTTAGCAAAGTGGTGTGGAGGTGGAAGGAACAAGAGAGAGGTCACTTTTTTTCTGGGAGATGGATATGAGTTCAATCCCATCGTGCGTGTTTCTTCAGCTATATATTCTGATAATCTGCTAAAATAGAAAGTAGAAAACAGCCGTTTTGTTATTGGAATTGTAAGTATTAGGTAGGCAGAAAGGCTGTCTCCGAATTTAGAGCTCCCGGGGTGCTCAGTTATTACTCATTTGGCCAAGAGCTGTAAGTCTAAACATCAGGGACTACCACATCTTATTAAGCACTAATAAATAAGTATTTAGCAAAAGAACCTTTGCTTGCCGTTGGCAGTATGTGAACTCTGTGATTGCATCCTTGTCCTCTGGATGAAAACGTTTTCTCTTTCTGGGCTGCTGATTCACAGAGATCAGGAAGTAAACAGTCCACTAACCCTGCTGATAACTACCATCTGGCCCGAAGGCGAACCCTGCAAGTGGTTGTGAGCTCCCTGCTGACAGAGGCAGGGTTTGAGAGTGCTGAGAAAGCATCTGTGGAAACATTGACAGAGATGCTGCAGAGCTGTAAGTACCAGGAAACAATAGGCCTTCCTCGAGTCAACCAAACATCTGTTCTGTGTCCTGCATTGTGATAGTGTTAGAGAGAATTTAAGAAAAAGAAGAACATTGTTAAGTGACTTACAGGCTTTAGAATCAGATAGACCTGGGTGTAGGTCATCACTCTGCCACCTAATAGCTTGGGTTAACCACTCAACCTCCTGAACCTCAACTGCCTCCTTTGTGAAAAGGAATAATAATTTGTACCTCCTGGAGTTTTGAGTATAAGTGAGATGTATATGTAAAACAGTCAAAGCTGGGAACGTTGTAAGCTCTCGATGACTTGCAGGTGCTGTTATTATTGCTGTTTGTTCTCTATGCTCAAAGAACTTACAGTTTCATTGGAGAGTCAGGATTAATTCCCGTGAAATAGATGCTGCACATTATATAATCAAATGTTATATTATGTGATACAAAGAGTGAGGGTGAATAAGTTTTAGAAAACGGAAAAAAGAAAAAAACACCCTTTTAAAAGGAAGTATCTTGAGGTTTAGGAGCCTGGAACGGTCTCACATAGGCTTGTGCATGTACACTGTATTTCCCTCTTTGGGCCTTTGGAGGGGAGGGGAGGATGGAATGAGGGTTGTGGGTGTTTAAGGTGTTTGAGGGCGGAATCAACCCTATGAATGGAAGTGAGAGAAAGGTTTAGGCAGAGAGAGAAGTTGAGCTGCAGTACAGGCCAAACAAAGAATTGGCCAACTCAGTGGGGTGCTCTGGAGCAACTATTGCCCATCAGAGTATCTGACATCAGTCCCCCAAAGCCCTGCCTTTGTAGTCTGGTCTTGATCAGTCATTAGATGTGGGCTGCCCCAGGAAGGCTGTCATCTGGGTTGAGGTGACGCTCTGCAGCTGATGTTTGGAACTTCAAGATACCAAATGTTTTCCTAAAGCAGCCATCTCAAACCCCATTAGACTCTTAAATATTGAGGACCCCAAGGAATTTTGTATACATGGGCTCTATATATAGAGATTTTTGTCACATTAGAAAATAAAACTGAGAACATTTTAAAACATAAGAATGCACAAGCACACATTCCATTATCCAGCAGAGCCATGATGTCATCATAGGTGACATAGCCTCCGGAAAACTGCATGAGAGAACGAGACTAAAAAAGTCAAAGGATGTCTCATTTTATTATGAAAATGGTTTTGACCTGTGGACCCATCCCAGAAAAAGTCTCTTTTGTATGTAAAATTCACAATTTCAGAATTTTCCTGGAGCTGCCCATCCACCTCTGAAACCCACTCATGGAGCCCAGCTTCATGCTTCCCCTTTCCCCTGAAGGAGTTTAGCATGGCTGAAAAGAGGTTCAGCTTCAGGCAGAAGAAACAAAAACTTGACAACCAGATAATAAGACCTTTTTGTGTGTGTGGTGGCACAACGTACATATCATAAAATTACCATTTTAATTATTTTTCAGTGTACAATTCAGTAGTGTTAAATATACTCACAATGTTGTACAACCATCAGCATTATCCATTTCCAGAACTTTTTCATCATTCTAAACAGAAACTGTATCCATAAACAGTAACTCCCCATTCCTTGTTCCTCCCAACTCCTGGTAACCCCTAATCAATTTTTTTGTCTCTATGAATTTTTTTTTTAATAAATTTTATTTATTTAGCTGCGTTGGGTCTTTGTTTCTGTGCGAGGGCTTTCTCTAGTTGCAGCAAGCGGGGGCCACTCTACATCGCGGTGTGCGGGGCTCTCACTGTCGTGGCCTCTCCTGTTGCGGAGCACAGGCTCCAGATGCGCAGGCTCAGTAGTTGTGGCTCACGGGCCCAGTTGCTCCGCGGCATGTGGGATCTTCCCAGACCAGGGCTTGAACACGTGTCCCCTGCATTAGCAGGCAGATTCTCAACCACTGCACCACCAGGGAAGCCCTGAATTTTCTTTTTCTAGATACCTCATATAAGTGGAATCTTAAAATATTTGACTGTCTGGCTTATTTCATTAGCATGATGTTTTCAACATTTATTCATGTTGTAGCTTGTATCAGAATGTCATTCCTTTTGAAGGCTGAATAATATTCAATTATATGGATAGACCACATTTTATGTATCCATTCATCTGTGGATGGACACTGGGTTATTTCTACCTTTTGTCTACTGTGAATAGTGCTGCTATGAACATGGATGCACAAGTAGTGCTGCTATGAACATCATGCACTCTGTTTGAGTCCCTGTTTTCCCTTCACTTGGGTGGATATCTAGGAGTGGAATTGCTGGCTCATATGGCAATTCTGTGTTTAACTGTTTGGGAACTAAGAGTAAGACTTTCTGCCTTTGATCCTTTCCTAGACATTTCAGAAATTGGGAGGAGTGCCAAGTCTTACTGTGAGCACACAGCCAGGACGCAGCCCACACTGTCAGATATTGTGGTCACACTTGTCGAGATGGGTGAGTACACCTCCAGTTTCCATTTCTTCAGTGCAGCTGAGTTGGAGGCATGAGAGAGAGAGAGAGAGGAGTCCCCAGGAGGCAGCCCCCTCTGCTGAGCATTCTTAAATCCCCTCATGAGTCTCCTGGTTTGCTTTTAGCTTGAGAGAGTTATCAAAAGAGGGTTCCTCTGAACCCCTTTAAGAGGCCTCCTAACTCCCTCTTCGGGGATTCTGCTGGAGCTTCTTCTGAGTGGCAGCAAAGCTCTTGTGTTGGGAGTTTAACCTATTCCACCACAGTATTACTTCCCCTTCCATGTTCAGTATCCAGTGGTCTGGGCAGTGATTTTTGTTCTCCTGTTTCTTAGGTTTCAATGTGGACACTCTCCCTGCTTATGCAAAACGGTCTCAGAGGATGGTCATCACTGCCCGTAAGTGACTCTGAACTGAGGTACTCAGGAGTGCTCAGTTAATGCTGGTGGAATGAATTGGTTGACTAGGGCAGGGATTGGTGTGTAGCTACTGCCTCGTTGCAGGCTCCCTTCCATTATTTGGGGCTACCTACCATGTAATCGTTATTTGGGCTAGTCAGATTAGGATGTGAAGTTCAGTCACCAGAAAGGTAAACCATCTCGATGCTACTTGAAAAATGTGAGAATGCTTGTTCTTCCTTAGATCTAGGGTCAGTAAACTATGGCCTATAGGCCTAACGTGGTCCACCTCCTGTTTTGTAAATAAACTTTTGTTGGTACACAGCCATGTTTACTTATTATCTATGGTTGTTTTCATGCAATAATGGCAGAGTTAAGTAGTTGTGACAGGCTGCACAGCTTGCAAAACCTAAAATATTTACCTCCTGTCCCTTTATACAAAAAGTCTGATGATCTCTGCCTTAGATACACTGAGTGCCATAAACTGAGTTGATTGGAGTAACTAGTTTGGGTTTGCAGGACCTCGGGAGAATTCACTAGATTTCTTTTTCCATCACTCCTTTCAGGCTGGCATCTTTTCCTTTTTTGCTGTGTTGGGTCTTTGTTACTGTGCATGGGCTTTCTCTAGTTGCGGCGAGCGGGGGCTACTCTTCGTTGTGGTGCACGGGCTTCTCATTGCGGTGGCTTCTCTTGCTGCGGAGCACGGGTTCTACGCGCGCGCAGGCTTCAATAGTTGCAGCATGACACAGCTCAGTCATTGTGGCTCACGGGCTCTAGAGTGCAGGCTCAGTAGTTGTGGTGCCTGGGCTTAGTTGCTTCGCGGCATGTGGTATCTTCCCGGACCAGGGATAGAACCTGCGTCCCCTGCATTGGCAGGTGGATTCTTAACCACTGCACCACCAGGGAAGCCCAGCTGACATCACTTTAAGATGCTCCTCTCAAAGTGGCAGTGAAAGGTGCCATTTTCAACCCCTCTTGCTCTCGTTGGCCCTCGCTTAACTTACCTTGGCTCCGTGTCTGTCTTTGTTACCTGGGTTCTTGAAAGGAGTTAGCAGCCCACCTAACTTCCTTAGGTCCTCAGCCTGCTCTTTATGTAGTTAGCTTGTCTCAGCCCCGCACTCACCGCCCTAAGAGGCATGCAGTCAGGATTGTTGTAGATGGGAATGTCACCCCAGGTCACGCCGTGCCGGGCGTTGTTGGGGGGCGGAGGTACCTTTTCAGGTCCTCAGGCCATTAGAGGCCTTTTATTGGTAGAATTACAAAGTGCCTGTCGCATAGAACATTGAGGTCCAGGATTTACTTTGAGAAAAGGAGGGTGTGGGTAGAGACGCGAGGCCTTGGGTGGAAGAGTAACCGCCGGTGACTCTGTTGCAGCTCCAGTGACCAATCAGCCGGTGACCCCCAAGGCCCTCACTGCAGGACAGAACCGGCCCCACCCGCCACACATCCCCAGCCATTTTCCCGAGTTCCCCGACCCCCACACCTACATCAAAACTCCGGTGAGTGACAAGGCCACCCTGGGGGCTGTGACTGACGCAAAAGCAGACTCCATTTTCCTGGCTGTCAGGCTGGAGTCCAGAAGTTTGTTGGTCACCGGGTAGTTCAGAACTCACAATGTCGTTCCTCACTGGAAAACAATTTGGCAAAGGAGAATTATCTTCTCCAGTTTGCTGGCGAAAATATAGTTAATAAATGAACTGAAAGTGGCACCGTTTCGCCTGTCCCACAGAGGAACCTAGCCACGTAGAGAAGAGATACATTCCACAAAATGCTGGTAGTAATTCTTGGTGGGATTATAGGTAACTGTTGTTTTGTGTGTGCTTTTCTGGGTTTCCCAAATTTTCCATAATAGGTAAGAGTTATTTTTGAAATCAGGGAAAGAGTTACTTAAAACATACTTGGGGGAATTCCCTGGCAGTCCAGTGGTTAGGACTCCGTGCTTTCACTGCTGAGGGCCTGGGTTCAATCCCTGGTCTGGGAACTAAGATCCCACAAGCTGCATGGTGTGGCCCCCACAAAAAAGACAAAAAATAAAACTTGGTAATATGAAATGGAACTTATCATAACTGTGAGCTCTGGGTCTGTGTGGGACAAGTCTAGTTGTCCTCCTTAGTTCAGATGTCCTCCGAACATGTCCTCCGTGTTCCAATTTGCCTCCTAGCGATTTCACCTTCCTTTGGGAAGGTACAGTGTGCATAGGAGTCCCCAGAGGCTCTTCTACTCGCTTCCTGTGTCCCCACCTCCACACTGCGTCCCGGTGCAAATACGGCCACGATGCAGGGTTGGGGCAAGTCCTCCAGGAGATTTTTCCACACCTCAGGGGCAAAGGAGCAGGTGGTCAGCCACCATTGCAACGCAGCCATTGCTCTTGACCAGGATTTTCTGTATTAGTGTCCTAGGGCTGCTGTAAAGTGCCACAAACTCGGTGCCTGAGAACAACAGAAGTGTATTATCTTGTAGTTCCAGAGGCTAGAAGTCCAAAATCAAGGTGTCGGCAGGCTCCCTGTGAAACCTTCGCCCAGCCTCAGGTGGCTTCTAGGCAGTTCGTGGCGCCCCTTGGCTTGTAGGTGCGTCACTCCAGTCTTCCTCTTCACACGGCCCTCTCTCTGTATCTCCGTCTTCACGTGGCCATTTCTTACAAGGACACCAGTCATATCGGATTCTTACCACCCTACTCATATAACCTCATGTTAACTGATTACATCTTGCAATGACCCTATTTCCAAATGAGATCATATTCTGGGGTCCTGGGGGTTAGGCCTTCCACACGTCTTTTTTTTAGGGGGCAGTCTCTAACTCTTTTGTAGCATATTCTGTCAGTACAGTATTAAGCACATGCTTCAGTATTTGTTTGCTCATTTACGTGAATGTTATAATGTAACACAGTACTAAAACAATGTACGTTGAAAGATCATCTGACCCTTATTAAAGGTTCAGGAAACTGGTGCTCCTTTTTAGTGGCAGCCACATTATAGCCTCAGCTTTTGTATTTTTTGAAATCTTGGTTTAATACCTGGTGGAATACGAAGTAGGAGGTCTGGTGCTAAGTTCAGTTTATTTTGATACTTTAACAGCTCTCATAGTTGAAAAAGGTACAGTACAAAGATAGGTGGGATCTTAGGCTGCCCTTAATAAATCATAAAACTAATTTTTTTCATTCTCATCTACCAATTATTTGAAGACTTATGTTAAAATTTTCCTATTAAATTTCCAACTTTTTAAATGTCAAACGGTTATCTTAAAAATAATTGTAAGATCTTGCATTTTAATGTTTTTAACCAGCGTGTTCAGAATCCTGTTAAATTCTTCATCTTGGGAAGACTTAAACATGTCAGAATGTTCTGTTGTCATGTTACACTGAGGGCCCCTGGGTGGTCCCTGGCAGGGCTTCCCTGGCAGGGCTTCCCCGGCAGGTGTGTGGGGCTGAGAATTGCCACTCTCCCTTCAGGATGTGTCTCTTATGCCTGAGTCCAGCTGTTGCTGGAGCTAAATGAAGGCCCGGGATCACGTAAATGTAAATGTTTGTATATTTCTTAACTTTTAAGATTCAAAGTAAATGTTAATCATAGTTATATTGTTTCTTTCTGCCCTTCCTCTGCCCTTGGGGATCTCTGCTCTCAGTGACGGTAGGGGTCATTTAAAGGGTGGGAGGACAGAGCAACAGCAAGGCAGGAACCCGAGGAGGGCAGTGTAGTCATTGGTATTTCTCTAGTGTCTTTGCTGTTCTCCCTTTAGACGTACCGTGAGCCTGTGTCGGACTATCAGGTCCTGCGGGAGAAGGCCGCGTCCCAGAGACGAGACGTGGAGCGGGCACTCACCCGTTTTATGGCCAAGACCGGCGAGACCCAGAGTCTTTTCAAAGATGACGTCAGCACGTTTCCCTGTGAGTGTCTCCCCTCTGTGGACCCTGGCTTGTCCTTTGAGATCATCGCCCCATCTTCCCTCTCTCTCAGTGTCATTGGAAAAAACGAATAAGCTTTGTCCTTGTCTTGTGGAACTTGTTCTTCATTTCTGGCTTCTTTTTCTAGGTCTTAAGGGCCTGTCCCTAACTGATGACTCCAAAACAGTAATGGCCTCTGTTGGGATTGGGCACTTGAAGTGCATTGAGTTGAGGTTACCTCGAGGGTGACTGAGCCCCAGGCATCAGAGAGGCTCATTTAGCAGAAGGGGTAGCCCTGGTGGTAGAAGGACCCTGGTGGCAGGGGGCAGGACAGTTAAAGAACCTCTGCCAGGCTTTGCCTTCACTACGTCCTCTCACAGGACTCACCATATAATTTCTCATCTCAGCACTATCGTTTCACTGTGTGACCAAGTGTCTTCCTCTCCACAGGCCTCAGTGTTTCCAAAGGGGAGTGAGGGAGATTGGTTTAGATGATTCATTCAGTCAGCAAGCTCCTGTTGGATTCTCGCTGTGTGCCTTGCCCCGGAACCACAGCGGCTAAGTTATCAAGTCCAGACACTGTGCTACTCACCTTCCCTACGTTATCTCATGAACTCCTCGAGTGAGCCTCTGAGTTAGGAACTGTTACTTCCACCATTCCAGGAGCCAAGGCTTAGAGAGAAGAGAAATGAAGTAATTTGCCCAAGGTCACACGGAGAGTGGATAGCATTCAAACCTAGCTCTTTTCTGTCTGCAGAACTCCACATCTGAGCCATGCTAAAAATAATCTTAGAGTGTCTCCTGATAATGACATTCTACCATGGAAGTGTGCACAGAGACTTTCTTTTTATTATTTATTTATTTACTTACTTACTTATTTGTTTACTTGCTTACTTTTTATTTATTTATTTATTTAATGATTTCGCCTACTCAGCCTCGGTGCTTTTTGGCGGAATTGGGTCACTCATGTACCTGAAGTGCCCGCTAGCTCAGTGGATATACTTCCACGCAGAGAGTTCTCAAGTCCGCTGTCGGGACCTGAGTCCTTCAGGTTGAAGGGACCCATATCCCTGCTCTAGTAATGAGGCTGGGGGCTAACTGACCTTGGGTATAAGATCACTAAGCTGATGCTTTGCTAGGATTCAGCCCCAGTTCTCTCTGATTTTAGTGGTACTTGGTAAAAGTAGGCTGTGCAGTCATATTGCCCGAGTTCAAATCCCACTGCACCACTTCCGGTGTGCTTGAGGAGGTCACGTAACCTCTCCGGCCCTCAGGTTCCCCATCTGTAAAATGGGGTTGGTAATTGTACTTACTTAATAGGGTGGAGGCGAGAATTAAAGATAACACGTAAAGCCTGTAGGACACTGCCTGGCCTGTGCTAAGCGCTCGAGCGTGTTAGCCATCACTGTCACTCGCTGCTGCTCGCTGATCTGTCATAAGGCTCTCGGCCTCTCTTCCAATCCCCCAGTGATTGCTGCCAGGCCTTTCACCATCCCCTACCTGACTGCTCTTCTTCCGTCTGAGCTGGAGATGCAACAAATGGAGGAGACGGATTCCTCGGAGCAGGACGAGCAGACAGACACAGAGAACCTCCCTCTTCACATCAACACGGTGGGTCCTGCCTTCTGCCCGCTTCAGCACGCCCCCCGCAGTAGCCCGTGCTGCTCTCTGCCTATCACCCTGCGGATTGGACAGGACCTACCTCAGGTCTCTGGCCCCATGTTAGGGACTTGCATGATGGGCCTGCGGTGATCCAATTGCGGCACGATCTCTAGCTCGAGGGATAAGTCTGTGTCCTGGGGATCCATTCATTCATTCAACAAATATTGAATGAGCACCTGCCAGAGTCAGGCAGGTGCCAGGTGCTAGGGAATTAGCAGGAGGCAAGATAGACAAAATGTCCTTCCCTAAAGGAGCTAAGGAAAAGTGAGAAATTAGGAGATGGGAGTAGGTACGGGCCTGGGGGATGTGGTATTAGATTGGGTGACTGAGAAGGTGACAGGTGAGTAAAGACCTGAAGGGAACAAGGCTCGCACGTATCTGGGAGTAGAGCGTTCCCCACAGAGGGAACAGCAGATGCGAAGGCCCTGAGGTGGGTGCTGTTGTGCTGAGGAATGGCAAGGCCATCAGGGTGGCCAGTGTGGCATGAGCAGAATGGGGGGAGGAGAGCAGGGGACGAGGTCAGAGAGCTCCTGGGGAAGTCAGGTCTTAACGGTACCTAAGCACTTGGGCTTCTTGTCAGTACGATGGGAGCCCCTGGACATACTGAGCAGAGGAGGGTCTCGGGATCGGTGAGGTTGCTGGGTCGAGGGTGGACTACAGAGGGTGAGGGCAGAAGCAGACCGGTCGGGAGGCTGGTGCAAGAAACTGAGAGATGGTGGTAGAGGTGAAGACACAGGTAGATTATTTGGTCAGATTCTAGATTATTTTCAGAGCAGAAGCGACTGATGGAGTGGATGTGAGAGAAAGAGAGTCAAAGATAAATGCAAGGGTTTTTTTCCTGAACAACAGGCAAGATGGAAGTTCCCTCAGCCAAGACAGGCGAGACGGTTGGGTGGAACAGGTGTAGGGGGGAAGCCAGGAGCAGAGGTTTACACGACATAAGTTTGAGATGCTTATTAGACATACGGGTGGTGGGGTCAGGTAGGAAGGTGGATAGGCGCATTGGAGTTCAAGGAGCTTTTGGGCTCAGGAGATGCAAACCTGGGAGTCCTCGGCGTGTAGATAGTGTTTAAACCACGAGACCAGGTGAGTGCCTAGGGAGCGAGTGAGGATAAAATAGAGAAGAGGTGCCAGGACTGAGCCCTGGGGCTCTGCGCTGTTCAGAGGGTGAGGAGATGAGGAACCAGCCAAGAAGATGGAGAAGGCACAGCGGGAAAGGTGGTGGAACCGGGGAGGGGGTGTGTGTGGGGGGGCTGCGGCATCCCGGAGGCCAGGGGAAGAAAGTGTTTCAGGGAGAAGAGGGTGATCAGCTGTGTCTGAAGCTGCAGTTAGTTCCAGTCATCTGAGGACTGAGATGTTGCCCATTAGATTTGGCAACGGGCATGCAGTTTGTGACCTTGACAATGGCAATTTCAGGAAGAATGAGAGCAAGTGAATTCAAAGAGAAAGAGAAGAGAGGAACTGGAGTCGGTGAGTGTGGACTTGTGTTGTCCGTTACAGTGGCCGGTAGCCACATGTGGCTATTTAAGTCTAAATTGATGTAAATTAAATAAAACAAAAAAATTCAGTTCCTTGGTCACACCAGCCACATTTCAGTGGCCACCTGTGGCTCGTGGCTACCCACTGGGCAGCACAGATATGAACAGTTAAATCATCACAGAAAGTTCCATTAATGTAGACCATGGTTTCAAGGAATTCTGCTGTGAAGGGAAGGAGAGAAAATGGAGCGGTAACTAAAGGGGAAGAATTAAGGAGGTCAGAGAGGTGTTTTGTTTTTTATCTTTATTTTTAAATTTTATGTATTGATTTTTTCAGCCGCACCTTGCAGCTTGGGGGATCTTAGTTCCCCAACCAGGCATCAAACGTGGACCCCCCACGGTGGAAACGTGGAGTCCTCACCACCGGACTGCCAGGGATGTCCCTTATTTGTTTTTTAAAATAAAAGAAATAACAGGATGTTTGTATGCTGATGAAAATGATCTGGTAAAGTTGATGCAGGAGAGAAAGAAACATTTTGGAATGATGATCTTTGGTAAGGGAGAGGGCATGGGATTTAGTGCCCAAAAGGAGGGGTTAGCCTTATTGTGGACATTTCAGAGCCAGGATAGGAGATAAAATGTGTGGGCACAGAGCCAAAGGTCGGCGGGGAGGTGTGCTCGTTGAAACTGGTGGGTGTTCTTTTCTGGTTACGCTGTATTGTACTCGGCAAGTAAGGGGATAAGACCCACTCTTGTTCATGCATCAGGGGAGAAAGTGCCAAGTAGAGTCACAGACCTGCTGAAGCTCTGATGCCTTTAAAGCTTCCAGGACCCTAAGAGTCAGGTTACCATGTTCATCCATCCTTTAAGGTTGGCCCTGGCTTTTAAGCAAGGGATGGCTCAGTGATTGTAGCTGGACTGAGGGTTCCTCGTGTTCTCTGAGGTGTGAGGCCCCAGGATGCAGGTGCAGAGTGCCAGTGCTGACTCTAGTATTTGCTGAAGGTCTCCCGTGCCTGAACACACATTTCTTTAATGTTGAATTATTCCTTTCAGAATTAGGGCTGGGAGCCCATGGCTCTGCATAGAGCAGAGGAGCTCTGTTATTCTACACTTCTGTTTTGGACTCAGTTAATTTGGTCTGAGATGTGGTGATTGTGGCACGGACTAAGATGAGGTTCACCTCATGAGAAGGCGGAGTCTTCTAAACAAACATCACTGTCCCTTTATAAGTACAAAGCAGCTAAAGGGCTTGCAGATGTGTTATCTAAAACTCCGGGTAATGTAATGACATAGGTGAGGTCATGGCGGTGAGTGAACCGAGGCTGAAAGGATGCCAGGAACTGCCTGAGGCCAAGCCAGACAGGAAGAGTAGAAAGATCTGAGCCTCAGAGTCAGACTGGCCTGGCCCCAGATCCAGACCAGGGTACTTTCCAGCTCATGACCCAGCATCTGAGTATGTTTCCTCACAAATGCAAATAGGAGTAGGAATCAAGGGGAAGTGAGGAGCCTGAGATAAAACGAGCTCATCCGTATCAGGTGCCTGGCACATGGCCGCTCATGGTACCCACTGCCCCCCTCCCCCTGCCCCTGCTGTATGACCACATGCTCTTCTGTACAAAATAAATAAATAAAAAGACTTCAGGAAAAGGATTCCAGCAACAATTTATGACAGTCAGTTGGGCTTGTTATTTCGTTGGACTGGCAAATACAATCATGTTTAAGACTCAGAATGTACGAAAAGATGTATGGTGACAGTCTTTCACCTGTCCTTGTTCCCTGTCATCCATTTTCCCTCCTACAAAGCAACCAGTGTCACCAGTCTCTTGTGAATCCTTCTAGAGATGTTTTTTAATTGTTATTTTAAGCACAAACAGTTCTTTCCCCTTGCTTGCTTTCTTTGTGGCGATATCTCCGTGGTCGTTGCACGCTGTATGTGAGGAGCTGCTTCATCCCTCCGCATAGCTTCCTCCTGTTGCATTGTGTGGACTTAGTGAGCCAGTCCCCTGTGGATGTTTACGTTGTTTTCTGTCATTAGCATTTACAGACATTGTTACGGGAAGTTCAATAACTGGTGTTTTAAATTGTTCTTTTATCTATCAAGGTCACAGCTGTCAAGGACTGTTGCTAGGTAGTTACTTTGTTTAACTTGGTTCTGGTTACTCCATCTAGGAACATGAAGGGGCTATTCATTTTGTTTATTTATTTATTGGCCACGCTGCGCAGCACGTGGGATCTTAGTTCCCTGACCAAGGATCAAACCTGCGCCCTCGGCAGTGGAAGCGTGGAGTCTTAACCACTGGACCGCCGGGGAAGTCCCAGGGCTCTTCATTTTTAATTGGTGTATCGGAGGATTCTTGTCTCATACATTTCAACGAGCTACCTTCTGCAGGCAATCCCAGTGTCTCAACTTTTACTCTTTTCTGAACAATGTACCATTCATGTCCTCAGCAAGTATTTGTTTAGTACCTGGTAAGTGCCAGATACTGTTCTGAGTGCTTGGGACACACCAGTGACCAGAACAAAGACAACAGCTGCATCTTGGGAGCCCGTGTGTTGGCAGTGGGGGAATGACCATAGACGTAATACATAAATGCATCACTATATAGTATGTAAAAGATGAAAGTGCTACGGGGGGAAAACTGAGTAGGGGAGGATCCAGGGTAAAGGGTGGAGGTTTCAGTTTTAAATAGGGTGCTCAGGGTACACATCACAGAGAAGGTGACGTCTGAGCAGAGTCTTGAAGGAGGTGAGGGAGTGAGCCATGTGGATCTCTGGGGAAGAGTGCCCTGGAAAGGGAACAGCCAGTGCAAAGGCCCTGGGGAATAGCACAAAGGAGAGTAGAGGTGTGACTGAGGAAGGTGGGGCCGGGGGAGGGGAGGGAGAGGTTAGATCAGGCGAGGCCTTGTGAGCAGTTTTAAGAACTGTCTTTTCATTGGATGAAGTGGGAGTCCTGGGAGGGTGTGGAGCAGAGGAGAGGCAGGTCTGAACTTCTCCAAGGAGCACTGGCTGCGCTGGTGAGAATGGGACAGGCAGAGGAGGGACTGTGGCGGGAAACCAGTTAGGAGGCTGTTGTCCATCTGGGTAAGAGACACTGGTAGGTCCTACCAGGTGGGTCGCGGAAGAGATAGTGGAAGTGGTCAGATTCTGCCTGTATTTGGAAGATAAGGCCAAGAAGTTTTCCTAACAGATTGGCTGTGGGATGCCAGAGAAAGAAAGCAAGCAGGAGTGACTGCAGAGTTTTGGACTTGGACAGCTGGGAGGACAGGACGGGAAGACAGTGGGAGAAGCTGTTTGTGCTCGTGGTTTAGTTTTAGGCACGTTGAATTTGAGATGCCTGCTTGCCCGCCACGTGGAGATGGCGGGTGGTTGAGCGACAGTGGCCGTGCAGGCCTGGAGGTCAAGGGAGATGTGAGGGCTGGGGAGGTTCAAGTGGGGGATGCTGCTGTGGAAGTGGTGGTAGAAGCTGTGAGGCTGGATGCAGTCACCCAGGGCGCATGGGGTGCATGAGGGGGGTGCATGAGGAGCGTGCCCTGAGTCTGGCCTTTCCCGGCCCAGGTCGCTCCTGACAGACCTTTCTACTCCCACCTGTTTTTACAAATCTCAGTCGTTTTAGTACTTTACTTCTTTTGTCTACTCCTCCTGTCCCTCCCCATCTCAAGGCTCCCTGTCCCCAAAGACAGCAAAGAAAGTGGCATTTCCAGAAGCTCTCCTTGGGCGTAGAGAAGCCTGTTGTCCCATGACTCGTGCCCCAAGTCCTGGCCTCATGAGGCATAGCGAGCTGAGTGGGAGGAGCCTCCAGCAGTGATCCCAGGGCACCCCTGACTGGGTCCCCTCCACCCTAATCATCTCAGGAAGCACTTAAGGCACAGTTGAACTTCCAGTAACTTTGAAGGTTGGGCGTTTCCTGTAGAGAGATGAGAGGAGGGAGGTAGGGGTGAGCTACTAAACCGAGCTGTTAAGAACTTCAGAAAGGTCAGAGCCTGGTATCCAAGGCAGGTCTGGGTGTGGTCAGACGTTGTGTCCGGCACCTAGTCTGGCACGAGCCAGCCAGGCTGATCTTGGGGTACTCGCTTTCAAGAGAGCCTCCGGGAGGTCCACAGTGACTCTGGTGCCACTGGACTGGGTGTTGGAGAGGGAAGGCACAGGGGCCCTGGATGAACTGGGCCTCTGGGGAGAACAGGGCTGATGGGCAGTGAGAGGGCACACAGCCGAACCTCAAAGTCATTGCTTTCTTTAGTCTCGTTGAGCCCAGACTGGCGCCGCCGTCCTAGGCCAGTGGTCCCTATGGGAGAGCCTTCCATCTGTCCACTGTCCCGCTGTCTTCTGACAGCATAATCTCCTGGTTGAGGTCAAGTCCTCTTCTGCCTCAAGTTACAGAACGGGAATCCCAGTGACAGAACCACTGGTCTGTCACCAGGGGGCGCAGCCCAACCAGCTGCTTCTGGTCCCTTATAGCCCCTTGGGCCTGAGCTGCTTCGTGTGATTTTTATCCCCTTCGCCTGCAGCTTCTGCTCATTTTAAAGAACTTGGAAAATAGAAGAGAGTGTAAAAAAGGAAAGGAGAATCAATCACCCATATTTCCAGAAGCCGTTTGTAAAACTTCAACATATTACTGTTTTCTATGTCTATATCCCATTGTGATTTTTTTAAAAACTGTTTAACTGAGATCATATTGAATATATTCAAACTTACAAGCTTTTCTCCAAAATCACTTTCCTCAAAAAACGCACAGCAAAAGGCCTGATCCCGGGGCTGCAGGTGGAGGTTTGGGATGATGTTCCTGTGTGGGTGCCCGCACGTGCTGCTTTGCCCTCATGGGAGCTCGCAGGGCTTGAGCAGTTTCTGGCCTCTGCTGGGATATGATCATTTGTACCATGTTGCAAGTACCAGATATTTGAGAATTTGCGGGAAAACTGATTATGATTTACGTGAGTTTTGGTCCGGGGGTGCCCTGTGCACATGATTTGTTCAGTCCTGTACCTCTCAGTCCTGCCGGGCATCGGGAGCCACTTCTCTTTTTCTTTGACTCCGCACAGGCTGGGCTTCCTCCCTGAAGCGTGTAAATTGTAGCCCCTGACTCTGCCCCTCCCAGTTCTCTGTTCCTTGTAAGTCCTGTCCCTGCCTCTGAAGAGGTTCAGGGTCTGGTGTTCTGTGTTCCACTGTGTCAAAGCTGGTGCTCTCGCCTTCCTCTGATAGCAGCCGCTGCCTGGCCTCTTTTCGTCTGGGGCAGAGAGAGGCACATTAGCCAAAAGGTGGTGCTTGGGCTTCTAATTTCTCAACGAAAGGGATGCTAACAGTAGTTCTTACCGTGGGCATGATCTCTTTCCTTATGCCATTTGGTATTTTGCTTTATTTCGGCTTTTGCTCAAAGGATGATTCTGGAGCCGAGAAGGAGAACACCTCTGTCCTGCAGCAGAACCCTTCCTTGTCGGGGAGCCGGAACGGGGAGGAGAACATCATCGATAACCCCTATCTGCGGCCTGTGAAGAAACCCAAGATCCGCAGGAAGAAGTGAGTTGGAGGCCAGGGTGCAGAGAGGCCTCCCTGGCCAACCGCGGTGGCCTTCTCTGCTCCTTGGCAGAAAAGAGAGGCTCACCGGTGGTTCTGAACCTTGGGGAGAGCTACTCTGGTGAGAGGGGAATGTTTTCCCCTTTCCTGTCCGTCCTCATCTCCCGCATGTACCTTTTGTTGCATGGAGGTTGAGCATCCTGCAGCCCAGGGACCAACCCTCACAGCCCAGCAGTTGTTCCCCCGCAAGAAGGAGAGCAGCTGGGGCCCCCACCAGGCGGGCTGCATGGATTCCTCTTCTTTCTAGGTCCCTCTCATGAGCTGAGAAGGAAGCCTGCCTTGTAGAGAGACGCGGATGCCACCCTCCTTGGGGAGTTAAAGCCACTCGAGGGAAGAAGAGGGTGGCCGCCTCGGGGACAAGCCGAGGCTCTAGGGTGTGACCGGGCATGATTTTAATAGCAAACTCTCTATTAAGATTACCTGTTTTCACTGGATGTTTGGGTTGACGAAGATACGATGGTAACAATGAGGCTTTTTAAATCAGCCGGGCCATACCGTGGGGCACAGGAGCAGCCAGTGACTTCGTTTATAGTCATGGAACTTGATTCCTTGAAACCTGGGAGACCGGGGAAGGTGGCAGGAAAGAAAGGTCTCTTTGCCTGCTTTGCTCACTGCCGGAAAGACTTTGCTTAGTTTGTACTTCAGGATATCTTGACCCCTTTTATTGACTGACAGTTTGTGGCGCCTATTTTATCATCCTAGAACCTCCTTACTTCTCACCTCATCTGGGCTCCACGTGCCCCGTAGAGCTGATCGAAGGTGACTTTCCCTCCTTTAACATGTTGGAAACAGGAGGCCCACCCGTCGCAGCCTCAGTCTGGGGCCGGCAGGAGTCAGGAGGCATAAGCAGATGCGTGTGGAGTAGAATGAAAGGCAGTACTGACTCTCATCGGCATCTGATGAAAGCTCCCTAAAGCAGGGCAGCACCCTCTCCTGAGGGGTTTATCATTTACTGTCCCTCTGTGGACCATGTGCTTGGGAACAACCAAGCTCTGCCCCATCCTGGGAAAAGAGATTTTCTTTGACAAGAGCCTACATCAGTGGATATATTACGCTGTGATTTGATGGAGGAATCACTGGTTTTATGCAGTAGGAAAAGGATTTGCTGGGGGGTGGGAGGTGGCGGGGATGAGATTTTGAAGGCCGGGCTTAGCCTCATGTTCTGAAAGTTGAGAAACCTGTTCGGTCTGCTGGAAGTTGGCATGGATGGAAGGCCACGTGCCCACCTTATGGCAGAAGTGGGCCAAGAAGAGCCTGCAGGTCTGAATCTGTCCATCCTCTTTGCCTCTTTATCCTTGATGTGCCCTACAAACCAAAAAAGAAAGATGCTGGGCAAGCTGGTACCTTTTGACTGTTCTCCAAAGGAAGAGGTTTTAAAACCAATTTGGAGGAAGAGAAATGCCAGTGACACCTGGAGGTTAACACAGGGTAAAGGAGGAGAATCCTGGGTCAGTGTCCTAAGGTCCATACTGAGCTCTTCTGATACTCGGCTTCCACAGTCATCTCTTAACCTTCCGTCCTCTTGGTGAATTTGAAAACTCGAAAACCCTGTTGACTTGACAGCAGGCTCCACGCTCCTCTGGCCTCACTGTTCTCTCAGCATTTCATCCCACTGGCTGGAAGGAAAGTGCTGCTCGTCAGCACCTGAAGAGAGGACACTGAGTGAGAAAATCGGATTCCCCAGCTCTGCACCAAATAAGAGTTTTTCCGGTTTGTAGTGACCTGAAACTCCTCCAGTTGAAAGTAGTCAGATCGGGCCTCTGCTGACCCCCTCTGAGCTTGTCAGTTGGCTCTTGGTGATTCTTGGCCTGTTGAGTTTAAATATAGCTCCAGGTTTGAGCCAGGGCTGAAACTTTCCCGGCTTGCTGTTCTCACCTGCTCCCGGGAGCAGTCATCCCAGCAATTCCTCCTGCTACTGTCCCAAACAAGCACCTGTTGAGTGCTGTAACACTAAGGGATGAGGTGGGATTTGGAAAAGAATTTCCCTTTCTGCTGTTGAGATTTCAGAGGCCTTGCTGCTGTAATTCAGTTCTGCATGAGACACTGGGAGATGGTCGGACAACCTGAAACATTGACCTGACTATCGTGTAAAAACTGTGCATAATCCTCAATGGATATTTATAAGTTTTTATTTTTTATAACTTTGGGGGAATCATGGAGGGAAAAAGTAGTCAACAGAACCAGATTAAGCATGTGATTTATGAGCTCTTAATAAAAGGTCATAATAAAAACTTTGTAAATGAAACAGAATTATAAGCTTTGAACTTAATTTGTATGCAAATGTTATAGCAGTGAGTAAAGCTGTATACCAATAAGTAAGGCTTAGCCCTTATGTTGGACAGAGTACCCTTTTCAACTGTCTAAAACTTTTTTTATTTGGGAAGTCTGCAAACACAAAACTAGGGAGGAAAGTATATATACTTTCCCTATGTATTCTTCACCCAACTTCAACACCTATCAACATCTTTTCTGTTTCATCTATTTCTTCTACTTTTTTCTTTTATTTTTTATTCCTAGAGTATATTTTAAAACAAATCTAAGAGCTATGTCATGTAATCTGTAAATATGTTGTTATGCATCTGATAGACTTTTTAAAGTTTTTTTTGAGGTAATTATAGATTGAGGATGTTGCCCAAAAAAAAAATGTTCAGGAAGGTCCCATGTACCCTTCACCCAGTTCCTTCACTGGTAGCATCTTGAATAACTGTAGTATAATACCAAAGCCAGGAAAACGACATTGGTACAATCCACAGGGCTTATTCAGATTCCACCATTTCGTGTGTGTGTGTGTGTGTGTGTGTGTAGTTCTATGCAATTTTGTCATGTGTAGATTCACAATCAAGGTATAGAACATTGTGAGGGGCAGGGATAAATTGGGAGATAGAGACATATACACATATAAAATAGGTAACTAATTAAGGCCTACTGTATATAGCATAGGGAAGTCTACTCAATATGCTGTAATGACCTATATGGGAAAAGAATCTTAAAAAGAGTGGATATATGTATATGTATAACTGATTCATTTTACAGCAGAAACTAACACAACATTGTAGGGACTTCCCTGGTGATCCAGTGGTTAAGAATCCGCCTTCCAATGCAGGGGATGCGGGTTTGACCCCTGGTTGGGAAACTAGGATCACACACGCTGCAGGGCAACTAAGCGCGCGTGCCACAACTACTGAGCTCACATGCCTCAACAAGAGAGCCTGCGTGCCGCAAACTACAGAGCCCATGCACCCTGGAGCCTGCACGCCACAACTAGAGAGAAGCCTGCACACCACAATGAAGAGCCCGCACCGCGATGAAAGATCCCATGTGCAGCAACTAAGACCCGACGCAGTCAAAAAAATAAAGAAAATAAATATTTTTATAAAAGAACAATGTAGCAGATAAACTTATTTTAAAAAACTAACAACATTGTAACTATACTCCAATAAAAATTAAAATATATATAGAACATTTCCATAACCACAAGGTTCCTTCATGCTGTCTCCTTATAACCACATCCACCTCTCACCTCTTCCCTATCCCTACCCCCTGGCAGCCACTGCTCTGTTCTCCATCTCTATAATTTTATTTAAAAAATATTATATAAATGGAATCAAAGTTTGTGACCTTTTGAAGTTGGCTTTTTTCACTTAGCATAAGCGAGTGAGAGCCATCCAGGTGGTTGTGTGTGTCAGTAGTTCCTTTCTTTTTATTGCTGAGTAGTATCCCAAGTATGGATGTACCATGTCTGTTTAACCATTCACACAAGGAGGGACATCTAGGCTGTTTCCAGTTTGGGGCTATTACGAATAAAGCAGCTATAGACATCTGTGTATAGGTTTTTATGTAAACATAAGTTTTCATTTCTCTGGAATAAATGCCGAAGAATGCAACTGCTGGGTCCTGTGGTAACTGTATGTTTCATTTTAAAAGAAACTGAAACTCTTTTCCAGAGTGGCCGTACCAGTTTGCGTTCCTGCTAGCAGTGTACGAGTGAGCCAGTGTCTCCACGTCTTCGCCAACGTTTGGTGTTACCTTTTTTTTATTTTTTAATTTTAGCCATGCTGATAGGTGTGCGGCAATACTCATTGTGATCTTAATTTGCGTTTCCCTAATGGCTGGATGTTAAACATCTTTTTTTCTTGGCTGTGTTGGGTTTTTGTTGCCACACGCGGGCTTTCTCTAATTGCGGCGAGCGGGGGCTACTCTTCCCTGAGGTGCGTGGGCTTCTCATTGTAGTGGCTTCTCATTGCGGTGGCTTCTCGTTGCGGAGCATGGGCCCTAGAGCACACAGGCTTCAGTAGTTGCGGCACGCAGGCTCAGTAGTTGTGGTGCACAGGCTTAGTTGCTCTGCAGCATGTGGGATCTTCCTCAGCCAGGGATCAAACCCATGTCCCTTGCACTGGCAGGCAGATTCTTAACCACTGCACCACCAGTGAAGTCCCTAGATGTTGAACTTCTTTTCATGTGCTTTTTTGCTGTCTGTGTATCCTCTTTGGTTAATTATCCATTTAAATCTTTTGTCCATTTTCTAACTGGCTTGCTTCTTTGTTTTTAGATTTCTTTATATATTCTGGATACAAGAACTTTGTCAGACGTGTGGTTTGCAAATACTTTCTCTACAAGCTGGTCTTTTCATTATCTTCACAGGGATCTTTTGCAGAGCAATAGTTTCTAACTTTGATGAAATCCAATTTATTTTTTCTTTTATGGACTGTGTTTTTGGGTTGAGCCCTACGTCCTGCAGATCTTTCTCTGTATTTTTTCTAATATTTTTATAGATATATGTTTTATGTTTTAGGCCTTGATCTAGTTTGAGTAATTTTTTTTAAGGTTTTTGGGGTTTTTTTGTTTGTTTGGTTTGGTTTGGGTTTTTTTGGCCAAGCTGCTTGAGGGATCTTAGTTCCCTGACTAGGGATCAAACCCGGGCCCCTGCAGTGGAAGCATGGAGTCCAGGACCACCAGGGAATTCCCTTGAGTAAATTTTTTTATAAGGTTGGGGTTTAGGTTGAGTTCACTATTTTGCCTGAGGATGTCCAATTGATCCAGCACCCTTGATCAAAAGTTACCCTTCTTCCATTGAACGATGTTTGTACCTTTGTCAAAAATTAGGTTTTTGTATGGGGGGCATATTTATGTGGGTTGATTAAGACTTTCTTTTTTTAACATAATCACCATATCAACACTTAACAAATGAACAGTGATTTTATAACATCCCCTCGTATCCAGTTCATATTTGGATTTTTCCAGTTGTCTCAAAGATGTTTTTATTTTATTTTTTAATAATTGCCTGGTTTGAATCAGGATCAAAATAAGATCCACACATTGCACTGGGTTTTCACATCTCCTAAGTGTACAGCAGTCCCTCCCAGCTCCGGCCTGGGGATGAGGATGCCCCTTTCCTTCGTTTCTAACCACGAGGCAGTTAAAAGGTGACGAGTGCAGTTAACTGAAACACCAGTAACGAAGTGGCCTGGCTTTGGGGGCCGGGGGCTGGGGTGGGGGACAAGTGTAAAAGGAACTGGTTTTCCTGGGCTTTGTTTTTGTGGAATCCTGAAGTCACTCAACTTAGAGGCATGTGGTTCAATAAAACAAGACTCAGTGACATTGGTACTTATGGCCCGACCACAACCTACCAGCTGTGAGATCTAGGGCAAATCCCTAAGCGTCCAAACCAGTTTCCATAAAATGGATACTGATGATACCTCATCAGGAGGATTTAATGAGAACGTCTGTACCTGTGCCTTATAAACGACAACGTTATTCCATTGCCAGACTTCTCTTTTTTCTTTTCTGTTGTCTTTAAAATTATACACAAGCTAATACTAATTGAGAACTTACCCCTTGCCAGTCGCTGTTCTAAGTGTCTTACACACATTGACTCATTTAATCCTCACGATTACCTCAATGTTCTTACTGTCCCCACTTGCAGTTGAGGACCTGGAGACCCAGGAGTTCAGAAACACCTCGGTCCGCTTAGCTGCTGAGGAGCAGAGCTGCGGTCCTGCCCCCAGCATCCTGCTCAAGTCCACGCCTTTCACCTTTCACACTCTTGCTTCGACCGCATGATTCTGTTCCTCGAAGGCATTGACACTACTGTGTGCAGAGTGGCTTCCACCGCACACCCACACGGTCTCTGGGAAGGGAGCTAGAAACGGAACCAGTTACGGAGAGAGTGATGGTGAGGCTGCTAATCACTGTTATTCATTCCTTGAAGAGTTTTGCGTGGTTTATGAATAATGACTCTGTAACAGTGGCTCATCTTCCTATAAGCTCCACCTTTGTCCCCCGACCCCCAGCCCCGCACTAGGACTTGTAGTTCATCCCTACTGCTCTCCATGCAACTTCCAAACTGCCCAACCCGGCTTTCCAGGTCCTCTACCAATTCACTGTTTCTTTTGGATAACTCACATCTTTCCTTCATCTGACAAGTATGGATCTAGTGCCTTCTATGTATGTCAGGAACAGTGCCAAGCTCTAAGGATACCATAGTGAACAAGACAGACATGGCCCCTGCCCCCAGGGAATCCATTCTAGTCGGAAGACACACAAAGAAAACATAGACCAAAATCACCAGACCGTGAAGCGCTAAGGACAGAAACAGAGGTTTTTATGCCTTGAGGGTAGGCGGCATCCTCATCACCACTGCCTCCTGTGCCTTCATTTGTGCGCTTCCTCCCCATCGCCTCCTAAAATCTTGCCTGTCCTTCCAGCCTCTACATCCTCTCTCCAGATGACCTCAATCCCTCCCTTCTTCATTCACTCATTCGACAAATACTTATTGAGCTACTGTGCGCAGGCGCCGAGTCAGACGTTGGGCTGCAGCAGAGGGTAACTAAGCCACTACATTCTCTGACCTTCTGGTCTCTTTGGGGGCCAGACAGCTCACAAACCATAGGCATGTAATGGGTGGTGAATTGGGGGCCTGAAAGAAAAGCCACGGTATATCCAAGCTGGGTAATGTGAGGAAAATTTAATAAAAGGGTCACCTCCAAGGGTGTGGGCCAGGTATAGGGGAGCACAGCATAGGTAGCCAGACCTGGGTGAGTGAGAGGGAGGGGAGGGAGCAGTTACTAGAACCTGGAGAGAAGCCGAGGTGAGACCCTGCTGCTAAGAGCTGAGGCTGTGGCCATTGAGGGGCCAGTGGGCGGCAGCCACCCTGCAGGGAGAGAGCCAGTCTGGGGATTAATGCCCTGGCCTCCTGCCCCCTCCCACCTTCCGGGATCCTGCCTGTTCTCTGCTGAACGGA